GAGACCTCCTAGGTACTGAGGTCTTCTAGGTACTGAGATCACCCAGGGACTGCAGTCTGGGTACTGAGGTCACCTAAGTACTGAGATCTTGGTACTCAGGTCACCTAAGTATGGAGGTCTCCTAGGTACCGCTGTTTCCTAGGTACCGCTGTCTCCTAGGCACTGAGACCTCCTGGGTACTGAGGTCTTCTAGGTACTGAGATCACCCAGGGACTGCAGTCTGGGTACTGAGGTCACCTAAGTACTGAGATCTTGGTACTGAGGTCACCTAAGTATGGAGGTCTCCTAGGTACTGCTGTCTCCTAGGCACTGAGACGTCCTAGGTACTGAGACCTCCTTGGTACTGCGGTCTCCTAGGTACTGCGGTCTGGGTACTGAGACTTCCTCAGTACTGCAGTCTCAGGTGCTGAGGTCTTCCCCTGTCAAAGGTGGGAAACTCCTCACTGGTGGAGCACAACCACGACCCTCCTGTGAGGGTGGTGGGCTGAGCCGCCCCTTCCTTTCTAGGGCCTTGTATCCATGCCATCCGTAGGAGACCCCCGTGCTCTTCCGACACATCCCTCATTTGCTGCAGACACGTGGAGCCAGTGCTGTCTTTATTACTGCGCTGTTGCGTGTTCCGGGGGCGCCGCGGCATTCCGTTTTTCCAGCGTTATCTAAGGAAGCAGGTGGAGTGTCCGAGAGCCTGGGTGCTTCCAAAAGGGTGCTTTGTTCCAACCCAACCCGGACCACTACGGGCTCTCCCACATGGGTCAGGTTCACTAAACTCTGTGGCTCAGGTCCCTCGGCAGAAGAACAGACGCAGTAAGTGCACCCATCTGTGAGTGTTCAGGGCCGCCGTAGCAAAGCACCGGGCGTAGACGGCTTCACTGGAAATCGTCTTCCCACGGTCCTGCAGGCTGAGGTCCGAGAACAAGGTGTCTTCAGCAGGCTGGCTCCTCCCGAAGCACCTGTCCTCAGCCTGCGGACGCGTCTTTTGTATGCTCACGGGGTCTTTTCACTGGCAGGGTACCCCTGGCACCTCTTCTGTGTGTGTGCACACTTCCTCTTATGCGAACAGCCGCTTGCATGAGGGCCCACCCTGACAGCCTCGTTCTAACACTCTGAGGCCAAATACGGTCACATTCTGGGAAGGGGCACACGGGTTGGGGTACTCCAGGCTCCCCCTTAGCCAGGGTTTCCCAGGGACGTGCCTGAAGCTAGGGGCTCTGGGGATAGAACTTTGGCTTCTGGTGGCTGAGATACAGTTGTCCCCGGTGTGGAAGGCTTCGCCTTCTGTGGTTCCAGTTACCTGTTGTCAGTCAAAGTCCAAAAATATTAAATGGAACAAGATAAACAGTTCACGCGTTTTATTTTACTTTTATGATTGTTATTTGTTGAGACAGGGTCTCACTGTGGACCAGGGTAGACTGCGGTGGCACGGTCACAGCTCACCAGCCTCGACCAACCAGCCTTTAGCCATCCTCCTGCCTCAGCTTCCTTGTCTACACTGCCTGCCAGTTTGTTTTCAGGGGACCCCGAGTTTCACTTGGCCACGGCGCAGAGCGCAGGAGCCGTGAGGCTGTCGAAACCATTCCGTTTTTCCATTGTTCACCGCGTATGTGCCTACTTTACAGACCGAACTTGATCGTGGGTGTGTTTAAACTTTATCTGCGGAGAAGCGCGCTGTGCAGAGGCCTCTGTGTTATCTGGGTCTCTGGCATCCACCGGGGGTCTTGGAATGCATACCGAGCTTCGGCAACGCCCATACTGTGGTCAGCTGAATAACGGCCCCCAAAGATGTCCGTGCCCCCATCCCCAGAACCTGTGAATACATTCCCATTATGGCAGAAGGGGTGCTGCAGCCGTGATTAACGGTAGGGTGTTGAGATGGGCAGATTGGATGATCGGGCCCTGTGCAATCAGAGGGTCCTTGGAGGAAGCATCGGAGAGGAAGAGGTGCCCCCAGGGGCAGAGAGTGGGGTGATGGGGTCACAGGCCGGGGACACTGCAGCCAGGAGAGCTGGGAGAGGCGGGCAGGGCTTCCACCGGAACCTCTGGAGAAACGTGGCCTACACGCCTTGCTGTTACCCCATAAGACCCACCTGGGATGTGTGAGGTCAGGAACGGAGAGAGAGTAAATTGCTACTGTTTTTAAGACCTCGGAAATGACGCCATGCCCAGCCCCAGAGCAGAGGAGCCGACCACGTCCCCTTGCAAGCCGCTGAGATGCAGGCGCAGCTGAGGACCGAGTGGGCGCCCTGCTGCTGCCTGGTGAACCTGCGCCCTGGAGAGGGAGTCCGCGGCAGCCCTAGGGAAGCTGGGCCCTGGAGAGGGACTGAGCGGCGGCCCTGGGGAACCTGGACTCTGGAGAGGGACTGAGCGGCGGCCCTGGGGAAGCTGGACTCTGGAGAGGGGCCAGTCTCATTCTAACACTATGAGGCCAAATACAGTCACATTCTGGGAGGGAGCACACGGGAGCCGGTACTTGAGGCTGCGTCTTAGCGAAGGTGTCTAGGGACGTGTGGCGGCCCTGGAGTACCTGCGCCCTGGAGAG